CCCTTTTATTATTATTAGCATACAAAAATATACAAAATATAGTGAACATCAATGTACCTACCACCAGGTTATAGAAAGAAACTATTATAAGTACAATTGATGCCCCTTACATATCCCTCCAAAGTCCTACATCCCACCCTCTATTACTATGCTGAATTTGCTGTTTATTAGTCCCTTTCTGTTTTTATACTTGTAATACATATGTATCTATCCATGAACACTAGAGTATTATATCATTTACGGCAGGGCAACATGCATCCAGCTCATCCAAAAGTAGTATATGTCCTTAAGGAATATGGAAAAAAAAAAGGGAAACCACATCCTTCTTTTACTCCAGTGGAAATTATTACTTTATCCTCCAAGTGACTCCCTCTGTCCTGGACTTAGTAGAATCCCAAGCTTACAGTATTTTAAGCAGAAAATCTGACATATATTTCAGATAGAATATCCATTATGCCAATTGGCCTATAATTTAGGGAACAAACAGTGTTTTTCTTTTTTAGTGTGATAAACCACATACTGGCTCAACCAGATGAGACAGGACAACAGATCTAAAACAAGAATAAATCAGCAAAGATTGGAATCCACTATTCAAAGCAGATCTCAATGTGCTCTAAAGATAGACTTTCCTCAGGTGCTTTGTTCAGCCTTGAGGCTTTGAAGCAGCTGTAACATGTAAAAGATTTTTAATAGGATCCTACATCTTATGTCTTTATTAATTTAATACAAAGCCCAAATTATTAATATTAATTGTCATATGTTAACAATATTCTCTGTCTTGTGTTTCTATACCCCTTCAGTAAGAAGTACTAATTTTAAACCTACTTTAAAAAAAAACTACCCAATAATATTACTCTGGATAGATTTTGATTTGATTTTTGATTTCCTTTAAACTAATGTTTTAACCTTGACTTACAGAAAAAATCACACTTTTAACAATAATAACAGACTAATAAAATTATTGTAAAGCACATGTTCCCATCCTATGAGTCGTTGACCTCTAGAGGACTTAATGGTCATTATTAGGGTGTACAAAATGCACATGTCAACAAGATTGTATATAGACAGAATAAATAGCTCAGATGTATGTACTATAAATTTCTAAATGGATACAAATGTTATGATCAATAAAACAACTTTTACTTTAAAAGTGTTACTGAATGCATAGTGGCTTTTTGGCAATTATATTTTCACAATCAATAGATACTAAAAATATATTGTCATGGGAAGAGGCCTTGAAAGTTTTTAAGACACTCTCATACTTGCAAAGGTTGGAAGTTTCTGTTCTAAAAGATTATGCTTGCTTTTGTAGACTTTGTCAAAATTCAGCATTTGAATCTACGTTAATTCAAATACTTGAATGTGACAGCTCTTGAGTAAATCTTTGTAGAGCAGGTACAGAGAGCGGCATGGTTGCTTACAAAAGCCATATAAACACTGTTAAATTAAAACCAAGCACATAAAATAGCATGCATCTTCTGCTTAAGTGAACTTAATATGCTAGAAGCAAATTTACTAGATCAGAACAAGAGAAAATCCTTACGACTTCCACAAATAACAATCCTATCCAATAACCTGAGTAAATCCCAAAATTATCTCAGATTAGAAAAATTAGAACATAAATCACAAATTTTCCTTATTTAGGCATATAGTTTTAGGTCATCATTTTAAGTTACAGCCAGTCAAGAGAATGATGAAATATGCTGTGATTATATGCTGTGATTTATATTCAGTGAAACCAATCAACCAGTTCTCATCCAAATTCTCAAATGTTTTATAAGCCTTGAAGGGAGGGCCTATTCTGTTTTTAATTAAACACTAAATAATTCTCTTTCATGAACGTCCTATGTTTCTAACCATATTTGATAGAGTATAAAGGAGATGAGATTTTTAAAATGAACTTATAAGTATGACTATTCAAATCCATGATATTTGACAGAAACTACTTTTTTTAAAAAAAGTAAATCTGACATTAACCTGTTTTCTTATTTTTTACTTCTTTCCTGTAAAAGACAGAAAAATTCCTTATTAAGTAAGAACTCTCTACATAAATTTCATAGGATATCAAAGCTAAGTGTTTTGGAGTTTTGATCAAATTAAAACACTGTGAGAAATATTTCTAATCTGCACAATCTAAAAAGAGCTGATGCCAAAACACTTTCCAATAAACCAGCAAGTAAACTAAAAATAAGGAACATATTGAAAATAGGAGGAAAAAAAGAAGTCTTATTGCAGCATCTTCCCCCTCACTTTCAATTTCCTGGATGCTGTCTGAGAGATTATATAAGCACTGAGGTACGTATTTGTGGCAAGAATGCTTTTTAAGTAGGAGGTAGATGGGAAGTCAAGAATAACTATTATCTAACAGCAAAAAAACTGAGTACAAAAAGTATTTTGTTTGCAAGCTGCATAAAATCAGGTTCTTTCATTATGGAAAGAGAGAGAGAATAAGAAGCAGAGGAAGGCTGTTAGAAATATTTTGGTGAAATTACATCAAGCCCAGTACTACTGAGGGCCACCTGCCTTTACTTATGAATAGCTTTGTAAGACAAAACAGTAATACAATTTCACTTGACTCCCTCTGGAAATCCCTTGAAGGTAGGAACTCTCTCTCTCTTTAATGATAAAAATCATGTAATATTTTTATATTTGTAGTAATATTTTATATTTGTAGTATTTTGAGGCAAATACATGCTCAGAGATGGTCAGACCCCTAGTAAGAGGCCTGAGGTCAGACCCTTATCAAGAAGCAAGGCAACAACCGACCCCATTCTGCAGGATATCAGGGCAGATCTGTTCTTTCCACAACTGCTTGCTGGCATTCCTAGCTGCCTTTAATTCCCATTGAATGAGATGAATGACAAAACATCACACTGTGCCCTATTCTACTAAAGATCTTTTAGTTTAACCAATACCATTTTCAGGAATTCTCCTCAGCAAAAAATAGACTAATACTGCCACTTATGCATTGGATCCTTTCCCTTTAATTTATTAGCTCTATTTATTACACAAAACCATCAAGGTGAAAGCCATCTGTAAAGTGTACAGTGATATGCAGGTATCAGTTGTTATTTTGAATATAATGCAAAATATGCCTTAAGCTGTACCTAACTTTGGACAACTTTTTTCAGGAAAAGGAAAGAAAGATTATGATTGATTTTTCTTTTAGTTTTCTTATAATTTCAAGATATATATGTATATCAAGATTTATTGTTAAGTATAAATGTAAGCATGATTTTTATTTTTTACTTTTTTAATAAAAAAATTTTTTTACTGATTGATTGAGAGGGTCTCGCTCTGTCATGCAGGCTAGAGTGCAATGGCATGATCATAACTCACTGCAGTCTTAAACTCCTGGGCTCAAGCAATCCTCCTGCCTCAGCCTCCCAAGTAGCTGAAACTACGGTATGTGCCACCACATCTGGCAATTTTTTTTAAGAGATGGGGTCTCGCTATGTTGCCCAGGTTGGTCTAAACTCCTGGCCTCAAGTGATCCTCCTGCCTTGGCCTCCCAAAGTACTAGGATTACAAGCATGAGCCACCACACCCGGCCTGTTTATTTTTTTAATTGCCAAATAATATTTGTATACGTTTATGGGTACAATGTAATGTTTTGATATATGTTTAAAATGTGGAATGATTAAATCAGATTAATTACCAAATTCATCACCTCACCTATGTAATCATCTTTTTGCGGTAGAAATCTATTCTTTTAGCGATTTTTAAATACACAATTCATTATTATTTATTATAGTCACCATTCTGTGTAATAAATCACTAAAACTTATTCCTTCTGTCTAACTGAAACTTTATACCTTTTGATCAACATCTCCCTCTTCCCCACTCACCCTCCTCCCCCAGTCTCTGGTAACCATCATTCTACTCTCAATTTCTGTAAGTAATATATAGGTTTATATTCATACTTGTATAAGTATTAATCAGTTTGTATCTAACAATTAAGTATAAAATAATTACCTTTAGTTTATGTGCTTCTTTTTTATCTCCAGCAAAAAATGAATTCTCATCAAAATGCAAAGGAAATGACCTGCATTTTAAAACAAAACAGTCATTTTCATGCATTATAAACATTAAAAGTCCTGATAAATACAACATTTTACTGGTTGTGATAACTAATATGATTGAGTAGAAAACGTAGTAAAACCAATACTCAGATGCTCCAAAACAAATTCTTATACTAAATGCTAATTGCATAATATAGAAGTTTGGCCCCAAACTCAATCTGTTCAACTAAATATGTAAATAATACAAGTATCAAATACTAAAAGAATGGCTTTTAAAACTAAAAATCTGTGCCTTTTAGTATGCAGGTCAAAACAAAAAAACAAAAACAAAACTCAACTCTAAAATACCTACAAACAAAATTAGCTTTTAATTATTTTTTAAATAGTTTCCTTT